AAAGACTAACTTTGGTCTAAGTCCACATTCACCGTTGAAAATCCACGATTGATCATAGATGTAATAATAATTCAATTCATATTTTGAATATTTATCGTTGGAATTGATTCATATTTCTCCTTAATTTTAGTTAGTTAGAAAACAGAGTTCTAATTAACTCTAATTATTAAACAACCCCAAATCAGTGCTCAAGATTCAATTTAATAACAACTTTACACATTAGAGAAATCGATGAACTAGATAACACAAATACCAGTAGTTGCATTCCATCTATTTAAATATTATTCTTAAGATTCAATAACCTTTATCGTAAAAAATCATCAAATCCTAGTGCTTCAAAAGCTAAAGGGATCAAACAATTACGGAATTGATATTTAACTTAGTGGTAGACCTCCTAGCAATTAAACATAACAATCATGAAAATAAGTGCAGAAAAATATTCAATACGCAAAATAAAAATTAAACAATAAGAAAAATTATTTAGATCTTACAATATGTGTTTCTGAGGCTTCAATTTTTTTCGACCAAGTGTAAAAGTTTAGTTACAATTCATGAATCTAAGAGAGAAATAAAGAAGAATGGAGTTTGGAGGCGTTCTCTCCGTTCGAGGGTTTTAAAATATGTATTTATAGTTGTTTCCATATGTGGTTGACTTAAATTAGGAAACCAAAAATTTTTCTCCGATTTGGCCTGGGCGGGCACCCAGTAGAAAATGGGGCAACCATCCAGGTATAAATATTGGCTTCTGTTAATGAAGTTTACGATCGGGCGACCGCCGACCAATGTAAATGAGTGACCTTCAGTATTTTGGTCATGTTTTTCTTTCTCGATATCCGATTGAGTTGATTCAAGATGCTTTGGAAAACTAACTTAAAGGGCTACAACTTTGCTTCAGATACCATCTTCCAATTAGATAATTTCACATGTCAAAAATGGGTCTCAAACCGAGATTGAAAATTCAATGCATAACTTTTTCGGTCAGGAGTTAATATGTGATAATTCTCTATTGAACGGCCACCTAAATCAAAATATTACATAATGAGTACATTTTGGTATTAATTAATCATACGAGCACATAAAATAAGGAGGAAAAAATATACATTTTGCATTCCTATCAGATTGAGAAATAAATAGTTTTCAATATCTAGTAAGGTTACGCCTAAAGAATTAAATGAGGCATTTAAAAAAGAGATAAAAGACATGGATGATAAATATAAATTGGGGTTTTGTGCTTGTCTATGAGACTGTGTTGAGATCCAAAGAAAAAAATACATCTATAGATCTTCGTACTTTAGATATAGTTGATGGTTTGGAGCTATTCAATGCATATTCATGGAGAACTAAAAGTTTCAAGTTTACGGTACATGCATTTCTTAGAGTGTCGAATGATTTGAAGCCCAAATATTCATTGTGGGGATTTTCACTAGCAATACAGGTAAATGGTTAAAACTTGTGATTTAGACATTGTTTTTATTTGATTTTAAATATTTGTAAATAACTTATACATCTTCTTTTAGGTGTGGGGCTGCTGCGATGGAAACAGTGGTAGGGGCATTGAGAGGAAGGTTGAGACAAGGAGGAGGCTGTGATGGGGGAGATTGGGATGGAGACAATTGCATGGAGCATTGAGAATGACACTAAGATAGGAGACGTTGTGATAGAGACTATGGTAAGGGATAATGAGAGGGAGAATGGTGTAGTAGACATTGAGGTGGGGACTAATGTAGGGACAAGGATGTACACTAAAGTTTTTACTCACAAGAAGAGAAATTTGGATAAAACTTATCACCAAACTGATGCACTGATGTGAGATAAAAGACTTAAAAAAGGTTCAAAGTTAGTTTCCTCTCCATACACGACTAGAGCTAAGTGGAGAAGACATGTTGATAACATGAATGTTGATCTTTTTCTAGATGTTGACCCAGTTAAGAAGAAG